TAAATTTGTATTTGAACTTCGCACTCTCGGGCATCCGTGAAAATTTTCAAGCGGCATTTCTGATTCGTCGCGCTGAGGCGTCGCATATTCCAGACGTTCTCACTGTAGTCACAAATTTGCAGTTCGACCAAAATGTGCTGATAATAACATCAGTTGTCATCATGGTTAAAAAATAGCTGCCGATTTTTATGAAAAATTATAACAATAAGTACCACTTTGGTTTGGCTTGACTATCATGACAGTAAAATCTGATTCCAATCTTTTTGCATTTAGGCGTTCTATGAACACCTTTCTCACAAAATGTCCATGTCTGATTCGGTTTCGAATGCCGGATTACGACTGCTGCGGATCAGAGAAGAAGCGACTCGTCTAGCGGACGAATTTCATGACGTATTTGCGGATTAATTTCTTTAGTCCCTGCAATGTCGTGCTTTAGCTGAAAACGCGGCTTCGTAAATATCACATTTCGACCTTAGATCCGGCGTTCGTTAAAGGAGACTTCGCTCATTTCCCGTCTACGAACTACATCGAAGTATGTTTTCAGTCAATCGCTCGGTGAATTGTTTGTTTATTCACTTTGTTTTTTCCCTGATCATGTTTACCAGCTTATAGCAGTAAACAGTATATTTAACAATAATCTGTTTAAAACTTAAAGTATTTATTTAAATGTTACAATATTTCTGTGAAATGTGCATATGCTTGCATTGTAAATTAAACTGTATATATGATGTAAGTTCAAAATTTGCTTCCTGTCGAAAATAGAAAATTTTCATGAACTATTGCTCTGGGAACCACTTAAGCAGGTCGCGATTTATAGTCATTTTCGTCCTTCTGATACTTCGATTCAAAACAGCATCATGTTGTTCAGTCGATCAACGACATGCTCAAGGCATCAGTAAAAAATGCTTTAACCCGCTTTATTTAAATCACTGCTATAGCTTTTATTTTCCTTTAGATACAAGAAGCCGTTGAGTTCTGCCGTTTAGCGTTGGTTCAGTTTTTCCGTTAGAGTAGCAATAATTCATTGCTATCTTGCGTTTCGTAAATGATGAATGATTTGCTTGCTAATCGCGATAGAAGAAAAGGCAATAATTGGCTGACAAAATGCATAAACTGCTATTTGATACTACAGTTATCTCCTGTTGTCACCTGTAGCGAGTTGGCTTTTAGGTTA